GACTTAAGACTGGTTTTGTGCTCCAGGGTCACAAATAACGAAATAAGTAATTTTGAGACATTAGGTGTGTCCCAATTAACGTACTACTCATGCACTAATCAATGCCGTTTTGTAGTATAAATAGTGCAAGGAGTGCGTTCACACTGAAATTTCAAAACAAAAAAGTGGACTTTAAATACCCAAATGATGCACTTAATTAAAGGGGTCATATGATGCGATTTCAATTTTTCCTTTCTCTTTGAAGTGTTACAAGCTCTTGGTGCATAAAGAAGAGAAACAATAATCTACCGTATGTGGAAAATAATGTTTTTTTAACCTTAAACCGCATAAACACATTTCATTACACCAAATACACAAAATAATGTTCTTTTTAGCAGCATCATATGACCCCTTTAACTGTAAAAAACAAAGTGTTGAATGTTGGACACTGTCACAGCTTTAATTAAGACTTATGCTGAATGACAAAATAACCTTATATATTTCATACACTACACAGTTGAGTGCATAAGTACATAGGGTGTAAGTGCATAGTAGTGCATCATTTGGGACACAGCTATTGACATCATGTGACTCTCATCATGTGACCGTCAGATTCCAGACTTGATTCCACTGAAGCACTAGATGTTCTTTGGATCATTATCAAATCATGCTGGAGAACATGATCATAAGGTTTTGCAAATCAAACTTGCACATTTTATGTCTTCATATAGTTTTGACTTAACTGGGAGTAATTATCATTTAAATAAATATTTAAAAATTCAGCAATGTTGTGTACAGGTGCACCAGGAATGTCATGCACCTATTTGTTGTGTTTTGTCATTGCGCTGCCTTACGCAAGATAACACATGAGCAAAGAAAAACACCTTTTCATCTTTGCATTACTTTAAAAGTAAAGCAGTTCTTTTATAATTGAGTTCCAAAAACAACTTCTTTTGAGCTCCACAAGAAAAAAACTCAAACAAATGGAGTGACATGAGGTTAGACTGACCGATTTCAGACACATGAATGTGTGATTTCTTCCACAAACTTATTTTTCCTACAGTACTATAATATTTTGAGCTCCACAAGAAAAAAAAGTCAAACAAATGGAGTGACATGAGGTTAGACTGACCGATTTCAGACACATGAATGTGTGATTTCTTCCACAAACGTATTTTTCCTACAGTACTATAATCATGCAACTTAATAATCAAACAGATGTTATCGATCACATGGCTGTTGTTTTCCACTAAAACTTAAACATGGAAAGCTGTGCATGAGTACATGACTTACCGCTGAAGTTCCCGCTGATGACGTAAGGAATGACGCCCTCGGGCCACACCCTCTCAGGTCTGGACGTCGCTGCCCTCTTCCTGCGATAGGATCCCCGACTCGACGCCGTATAGTTTGTATTCGTCTCATTGTTAAGTGAACCTAACATTTCCGACACCAAATGAAGAGAAACTCAAACCGTCAGTATGGAACCTCATCATCACAAGTTTCAGAGAAAGAGAGATTACACATCATCTTCTACATCTTACATTTACATTTAATTATAAAACGGAGAGTTCCGGTCCTTGATTCTGATTGGCTGAGCCGCGTTCGGAGCTGTTGTAAATTACTCTACAAACATACACCTTTGTTTACTTCTGTGTGTTGCTCGGCAACCACTTTGTTGGAACCACAACGGTTTCTGAGGAACTACATTGTTTGGTGGAAGAATACTGTTTTTATTAATATCATTACACTTTACTTGCTCTTTTTTACTTTGTGAAGCCTTACTACGTATATGGAATAACCATTTTATAA